CAGCATCTATAAGAACTTAAATAGAGTATTCTTTAAAAAACAATATTTTCTTTTTTAACATATTTTTTAATATACAAATAAATAATAGATTCCCACTCTTTTCATCAATTCTCAATGAAAACAATTATAGTCGACAAGAAAATTTTTCAGTTTGCAGATGATGTATAAGAATAAAAAGGTTGAAGAATATATGTGAGTTCCACATTTCAGCTCCAAAGGAGCTGCGCTAACAAGGCTTTTCATTGAATTAAAAATAAAATTATCATCCATACATTTTAGATGAAATGGAATTGTATTAATATCTAATATTAAATCAATATGTAAACTAAATGAGGTATATATTTTTTTTAAAGAATACTCTATTTAAGTTCTTATAGATGCTGAAGAAGTATACCAGCAATATGTATTTCATCATTGGGTTTTAATCGTGAAGAAATCTTTTCACTATAATCAGTGAGATACATCTTTAACTTTAATACAATAATTAAAATAATATTTATTCTAAACAAAATAAGAAACATTCTCATTTAGAAGACTTGATCGAAAAATGACAAAACGAATAAAAACAAAAAATATTTTCGATTATTTTCTGAATAATAGTTTTTCTATTGAATAGATTAATGAGAAAAATTCGATATTTATTAATAAAATAAGAAATTATAAACTATATTATCCTCTATTTATCTTAACTTTTATTCATTCGAATGAAAAACTAATTTTAATGACAATAATGAATATATTAAACAATATTACTTAGATTTAAATAAGAAAATAAATTCATTTTCTCTTTAGATAAAATTATTCAGCAAGTAGAAAAATATAAGTTAATTGATCTTTTCTTTTTCTTTTTATAAATATATTATAGAGTTAAATATTTATTCAATCTTAATTATATATAAATGATTAAATAAATATTTTAAATAAACTTCTATTTCAAAATATATTTCTCATTAACTTATTAATATCAAATCTCAATTAAATTAATATGAACGATTTTCTATTAAAATGAAACAAACTTATAAGAAAGATTAATTTGTAAACTAATATTCAAATTGCATATATGTATAATGAAAAATTTCTCTTATTGATCAATAAATAAAATAAATTAATATAAAGAAAAAAAACAAAACAAACAAACCAAGAAGAATAAGATTTGGCGGTCCTAGAAAAGCCAAAGCAGCATGCATTCTTCTTCTTGTTCCACCACTTAATTGAATAACATATTGTTTTAAAAAAGAATCAAGTAAAAATAAATTTGAAATTATTTTAATTGTTTGTTTAAGATGATAATAATATATACCACGTAAACGTCCAAATAAATAAAAATAATCTTCTACTGTTAATTTATCTTGAATACAATCATATTGTTGACAATATCCGATTGGTTGAGTTATTCCAAATAAAAACTTATTT